CCGCCGGCGCTGTGGCGGCCGAGCCCCGTGATGACGGTGAAGCCGTCGCGCGCCTCGAGGTCGCGGTACTCGCCGAGCCCCTGCCACCAGGCCCAGGCGCGCTCGCGCGCGATGCGCACGCCGTCGACGACCTCGACACCGTGCAGGTCGATGGCCTTGCGCGAGCTGTTGTCCGTGACGAGCATGTCGGCGGCGACGCTGCGCGCCTGGGCGTACGTCTGGGCCTGGGCGCGGCCGCGCTCGGCGTAGTAGGCCGCCGCCTGGCGGTAGAGCGGGTTCGAGCCGCCCTTTTTGAAGCTGGCGGCGGCGGCGGTGTACGAGTGCGAGCGCGCCGCGGCGTGGGCGCTCGCCGCGTGGAGGGCGTCCTGATAGGTCTGGGGCTGGCTCGACTGCGCCATGGGCGGCGGCGGGGGCGGCATGGCGGAGGAGGCGCCACGTTTGTGGGCCTTGGAGGCCGTGGCCGGGGTGAAGGCTTCAACTTCGGCGCCCACGAGCGGCGTCAGCTTGTAATCGACGGCCAGTCGTTGGGGGCCGAGGTGCGCAAAGTAGGTGCTGAGGAGGGAGGCCAGCTCGTCGACCCACTGGTCGACGTCTCCTGCGATACCGATCAGAGGCGGTATGTACTTTTCCGGGATGCTGCGGTAGAGGTTGGAGAGCTCTCTCACGCGGGCGCGGCTGGCTTCGCTCGTAGCGCGGACGCCTTGCTGGATGTAGCTGTCTAGATAGTCGATGATTGTCCGCTCGCGGGAGCAGCCTTGGAGGTGAAAGGCGTGGGATGCTTCGTCGTAGGGCAAGTCAAGCTTCTCTGCGATGAATAAGATGTCTTCGAGATCTGGGCTGTGGCGTGAGTGAATGTCTGGTATTGGAGAGATAGGGATACTCACGTTTGCTGTTACATTCCCTTTCCGCAGGGGAGCTGGGCTCGGTAGTTGTGGACGATCCGGTCGCAGACAAGCCTCCCTTGCGCTGCTTCTTCTTCCTCTTCTTCTTGCTTGAAGAAGCAGTACTCTCAGGTTGGAAGAAGCCATCGATTCCCTTCTTTCGCTCACCCGTCGATTCGAGATACTGGGTGTTGAGCAAACTGTCCATAGCAGTGAAGAAGTCGCCGTGTGATTTCTTAAAGGCAAGCTGGATGTCGTGGGTTTTGAGGTCGGCAAACATATCCTGGAGCTGGCGAATCTGGAAATCGTCGGATTGGCCCTCGAAGGCGGTGATCCGAGGAGACGGTCCATCACCTGGCTCGAGGGCCGGGCTCGTGATGGCCGTGGTGCAGGAGTCGCTGTCGCGATGGTGCGAGGCCGAGTCGTGCGACTGCGCCGAGCTGTCTCGGGCGTCGTGTGCATCATCTAGGCCCCCAAAGGCATTGGCCACGCCACTTGCGTTGAAGCCTGTCGCTTCTTCGAGGACGACTTCGGATGCGAGGGTTTTCAGGATGTCGCGTGCCGCCTCATAGTGGGCAGGATCGTCCAGGTCATGGTCAGTTGTGATGGCGATGATGAGAGACTCATCGAGTAGGGAGGCGAACTCCTCCTAATTTTGGTTTCTTGTCAGAGAATGCAAGGACCTCGGGGAGCGTCGTGTCTTACCGCTAATTCGTCGTGCTTCGTCTTCGGGCCGGACATTTGTGGCTCCTTCACGGGCCTGCGCCTGAGGGTTCTCGTGATGGCGGGGTAAGAGAATAGCGAGGGTAGGTGGGAAGACCGGATCGAAGATGTTTCATAATGAGACAGCCGGTGAGTTGCAGTGTTGTATAGTCAGTCGTCCTTTGTCTGACGGCAGGCGGAGATGGGGCGCCGCGCTGGCCGATCACAGGTGTCGCGTTGATGGCAATCAGGCGCTCGCTTTGCGGTCGCGCGTCTGTGCTGAGGCTGCAGAGGGTGATCGCAGGCACGAGCAAGCACAGCTAGTGTTTGTGTGGCTCTGAAGGAGATTCCAGGGATGGCAAAGGACTGTACAAGGATGAGTTGGTGGTCACGATCGATACTGTCGCGAGATGTGTCAGTTGGGTAGGTAAGGTAAGGTACCTTGGTGAGGGCATACCTTGGTGGTGAGGTCAGATGAGTCGTTGACGTCGCTGCCCCAAACTGTGCTCCAGGTGAGACGTGACTCGACATTCGTCAAGCTAAAATTGTGGCAGTGGCCGCCAGGGCCCGCCTGCCTGGAGCTGGAGGGACAGAGGGAAGCCCTCATTCGGTACCGCCCTCATTCAGGTACCGCCCTCATTCGGGTATTCAGTACCTAGGTACCTACATGTACTCTCCCTACTACCTCAGATTACCTAGGTATGCCACAGCCCATCCTTTGACTTGGGTTTATTCTTTGATCTAACTCACTTTCTTTCCATTTTCTCTTTTATCCGAGGCCGATTTAAAAGTATGGTACCGCCCACCAACATACCTGGAGGCATCTTCATCCCAGCCGAAAGCCAGAGACCGGCCCGAGACCAGTACTTCCCGAATCGGGCGGGGTCCCCCATCAGAGGCCCCTCCGACGACAGCCTCTCTGATATCAAGTGCTTGATGGACGCTCCAAGTCTCCTAGATTTCAGCCATGATTCCAAATTGACTCTTTCCTCGGTGCATCCGTCGTCATCCAATGCACCGGAGCTCACTTTTGCACCATGGGCTCTTCCATCGATGACAGAATGCCAACAGGCGAGAGCCTCGACCAGAGGCTAAATGCCCTGGTTGAACAATACGAGGCCGAGAATCCAAAGTCGGCTGCCTGTCACCAACGCGCCCGCCAAGTCATTCCGGGCGGCACCACACGAAGCGTGTTCAGCACTGATCCGTTCCCCCTCACTCTGTCAGGCGGCCAAGGCTGCTTCGTCACGTCTGTCGATGGTCGCGAATATCTCGACTTTGTCTCCGAGTACAATGCTGGCATCTACGGCCACTCGCATCCTGCCATTCGCCATGCCATCGACCGTGCAGCCCAAGGCGGCTTCAACCTCGGGGGCCCGAACGAGCCCGAGGTCGAGTTGGCCAAGAAGCTGGTCAGCAGGTTTCCGAGCATGGACACGATACGCTTCTGCAACTCGGGCACAGAGGCCAACACCATGGCCATTGCCACTGCACTTCACGCGACGAAGCGAAAAAAGGTCAGACAAGCACGTTCCCCCGCGTTGATAGGCACCTGCTGATCGTTCCCAGGTCATGGTCTTCAACGGAGCCTACCACGGCGGCACCCTCATGTTCGCCGGCACCAACCCCCTGAACCTACCGCATGACTTTGTCATGGGCGTCTACAACGACATGGAGACGACGCGCGCGCGCTTGACACCCGACATGGGCGCCATCCTCGTCGAGCCCATGCTCGGCGCCGGCGGCATGATCCCAGCGACGCCCGCCTTCCTGCAGATGCTCCGCGCCGAGGCAACACGCATCGGCGCCGTCCTCATCTTCGACGAGATCATCACGTCGCGGCTCTTCTACGGCGGCCTACAAGAGCACCTCGGCATCACGCCCGACATGACGACCCTCGGCAAGCACTTTGGCGGCGGCTTCTCCTTCGGCGCCTTCGGCGGACGCAGCGACATCATGGCCCTGTTCGACCCCCGCGCGACCCCCGACCCGCTGCACCACTCGGGCACCTGGAACAACAACACGTTCTCCATGGCGGCCGGCTGCGTCGGCGCCGACCTGCTCTCGCGCGCGGCCCTCGAGCGCACGGCCGCGCTGGGCCGCCGGCTGCGGGACGGCGTCGCCGGCGCCTTTGCGCGGCGGCGCGGCGGCGATCCCGTCGTCCGCGTGACGGGCGTCAGCAACGTTGCTGGCTTTGACTTTCTCGGCCCAGACGGGCCCCGGATCCGCGCGGCTTTTTACTTTTTCATGCTGCGGAGGGGCATTTATGTTGCGAGCCGCGGGTTTGCGTCGTTGAATATTGTGCATCGGCAGGAGCATGTTGACCGGCTGGTGGCAGCTGTTGAGGAGTTTTGCCGGGATGTGCTGTGATGCCCAATTACCAGTAGTTCAGCGTCGACCATCTCGCTGCGTAGTAAGACTACTTAGGTACTAAGTCTTTTGCTGGGACATTTTCTGTCGAGTGCTGGCTGAGAATCAGTGTCGCTCATTCTTTGGGCCTTGCCGTCTGATGAGCTGTTTGATGGGCATGCAGGTCATGGTGACGACGTGAAGGAGCAAAGTGACGTCTCAGCAAGGACGGAGGGAACACAGCGGAGAGAAGCCGCCAGGTAACAGCTGGCAGAGGCTGCCCGGGGTACGATGACGACGGGGATGTCTTGCGGTTGAGCTCCGGTGGCTGGAGCGCTAGCGTAGCAAGCTGGTGCCAAAAAAAGCCGCGCGTGGGAAAAAGATAGGTACTTGTATTAGCTAGGGACCCCTATATAAATAGAAGTACTTCCCAGCTTCTATCATTAAAATTTCCTGCCGTTTATTTCTACTACATCTCGAATCCTCTGTAGCATTGAGTCAATTCAGTGATTGACGCGTTCTGGTTGTGCATGGAGAGCTACCCAAGGTAGGCCTCTGTAGCTAGATTTAGTGGTGATGGAATTGGTGGTGGAATCGCCACGCGGCTTTTTTTGGCACCAGCTTGCGTAGGTACAAGAGTATCCAAGCACAGGCCAGCACTGACGCTTAGACACCCAAGGCACCTAGAGGCATATGGCCCAGGCACTGGAGCGAGTTCCCCAGAGGCCGCAGATGCAGCAGCAGAGCGAATGACGCATCACACGACTGGACCCGCCCTCGCCGCAGTTCGGCAGCGTGAGCCAGTCCGATCCAGGTCGAAGCTCCCTACTCTCTCCCACCAAGGTCGAGAGGTACGTCGTCGCAGGCAACCGAGACCATTATCGCCGCGTTCCTCAACGGTACTCAACCTCGCCGCTTCCACCTCCCATCTGACCTACCGCGATATTCCTCCCCAACCCATCATTCACTCCTGTTCGAGCTTGTCCCTCGTTCTCATTGCGAGCCCAGCATCCATAGAACCACCTCGACAGCGTGACGACTGCCGCTAGTCGGCAAGGAGTGTGCGTCATGACGCAGCTTCGCAACATGCTCGGCGCCCTGCTCCTCGCCCCTCTCGCCATGGGCGCCTCACCCTTGACCCCGCGACACGAGGCTGGTCGCTGTGCCATTCGCGGCCACTGCGGCTCCAAGAGCTGGTTCGGCAAGCAGCTGCCGTGCGTTGACAACGGCCTCGCCGAGGACCCTGATGAGGAGCTTCGCAACCAGATCATGGAGGTTTGCGGAGAGAAATGGGCCTCGGGTCCCGTCTGCTGTGACGCCGAACAGGTACGCCAACGATGCCATGCTTCCCTCAATAGTTGTCCAACAGTATTGCTGACTCGTCCTCCTCCCAGGTGACGGCTCTCTCTTCGAATCTCGGCACCCCGAAACAGATCCTCTCCTCCTGTCCTGCATGCAAGGAGAACTTCTTCAACCTCTTCTGCACCTTCACCTGCTCGCCCGATCAGTCCCTCTTCCTCAACGTCACCAAGACGCAGGACAAAAATGGCAAGACCATGGTCACCGAGCTCGACCAGCTCATCTCCGAGACGTACGGAACTGGCTTCTACGACAGCTGCAAGGAGGTCAAGTTTGGTCCGTCCAACTCCAAGGCCATGGATTTTATCGGCGGCAGCGCCAAGAACTACTCCCAGATGCTCAAGTTCCTCGGCGACGAGAAGGCCATCGGCTCTCCATTCCAGATCAACTTCCCCACCGAGTACGACGAGCCACACATGGGCCCTCTGGATATGGCACCCAAAAAGTGCAACGACGAAGACCCCAACTTCCGCTGTGCGTGCGTCGACTGTCCCGAGGTCTGCCCCGAGCTGCCTGCCGTCAGACCCCCCGGCTCGTGCCACGTCGGCGCCCTGCCCTGTTTGTCCTTCGCCTCCATCTTCAGCTACAGCGTCCTTCTCTTCTCCGCCATTGCTGCCGTCATCGGCCACGTCGCCTGGAGGCGTCATGCGCGCCGCCGTAGCGAGAGGTTGAGACTCCTGCAGGACGCCTCTCCCAGCGACGACGAGGACGAAGGCGACCTCGTCCAGAACGGTGCCATGCTCGACCGGCCTCAGCGCTACTACAAGATCAACACCTGGTGCGATGCTGCTTTTAGCAAGCTCGGCCATTTTGCCGCTCGCTTCCCGGCCATCACCATCGGCACAAGCATCGTCCTTGTCGCTGTCCTGTCCGCCGGCCTGGTGCGCTTTGATCTCGAACGCAACCCCGCCCGTCTCTGGGTCAGCCCGACATCTGCCGCCGCCGAGGAAAAGGCCTTCTTCGATGCCAACTTTGGCCCCTTCTACCGTGCCGAGAAGGTCTTCCTGGTCAACGATACCCTTCCCCGAGGATCCGGAACTGTTCTCAGCTACGAGACGCTCCTGTGGTGGATGGAGATCGAGAAGAGCGTCTTGAGCCTCAAGGGTCCCAACTACGGTGCCACGCTGACGGACGTCTGTTTCAAGCCCGATGGCACCAACTGTGTCGTCCAGTCCGTGTCGGCCTACTTCAGCAACGAGCCCTCCCTGGTCGACAAGCGCCACTGGCAGGAAGATCTCCGTGCCTGCGCCAAGTCTCCCGTCGAGTGCCGGCCGGAGTACGGACAACCCCTCGAGCCCAACGCGATTCTTGGCGATTGGGGCAGCGACCCTGTCAACGCGACCGCCATGACAGTCAACTGGGTCGTGAAGAATGCCGAAGAGAACAGCCCCGAGGTGGAGCGCGCCATGGACTGGGAGCGTGCTCTTCGCGACCGCCTGCTTGAGGTGCAGAAAGAAGCCGAGGAGCGTGGTCTGAGGCTCTCCTTCAGCACCGAGATCAGTCTGGAACAGGAACTCAATAAGTCGACCAACACGGACGCCAAGATTGTCGTCATCAGCTACCTCGTCATGTTCCTCTACGCCTCTTTTGCGCTTGGCTCCACGACCTTGTCGATTCGTGAAATGGTCCGGAACCCCGCCATTGCCTTCGTTCAGTCCAAGTTTACGCTTGGCGTTGTTGGCATTCTCATTGTTCTCATGTCCATCTCTGCCTCGATCGGCCTGTTCTCGTGGGCTGGCCTCAAGGCTACCCTCATTATCGCCGAGGTTATCCCATTCATCGTCCTTGCTGTTGGTGTCGACAACATCTTCCTCATCGTTCACGAATTTGAGCGAGTCAATGTCAGCCACCCCGACAGCATGGTCGAGGAGAGGGTTGCCAAGGCGCTCGGCCGCATGGGTCCTTCGATCCTGCTGTCTGCTCTCACCGAGACGGTGTCCTTCGCCCTCGGCGCCTTTGTTGGTATGCCGGCTGTCCGCAACTTTGCGGCCTACGCAGCGGGTGCGGTCTTCATCAACGCCATTCTCCAGATCACCATGTTCGTCTCCGTCTTGGCGCTCAACCAGATGCGCGTTGAGGATCACCGAGCCGACTGCTTCCCCTGCATTCAGGTCAAGGCCGCCCGGGTCCACCTTGCTGGCGGCAACGGCAATGCAAACGCTCGTTATTATGAGGTTCCCGAGGAGAGCTGGCTGCAGCAATTTATCCGCAGGACCTACGCACCCTTCATACTCGGAAAGAAGGTCAAGACAGTCATCATCGCTGTCTTCCTCGGCTTCTTCGCTGCGGGCATCGCGCTTATCCCTGAAGTCAAGCTCGGCCTCGACCAGCGCGTGGCACTGCCCGATGATTCGTACCTCATTCCCTTCTTCAATGACCTATACAACTACCTTGACACCGGCCCACCCGTCTACTTTGTCACTCGCGAACTCAACGTCACCGAGAGGCAGCACCAGCAGGAAATCTGCGCCCGCTTCACCACATGCGAGCAAACGTCCCTGGCCAATCTCCTCGAGGGCGAGCGCAAGCGTCCCGAAGTTTCGTTCATTGCGACGCCCGCCGCCAGCTGGGTCGACGACTTCTTCTTCTGGCTCAACCCCGACCTGGGTGATCAGTGCTGTGTCGAGAACGGCAAGGCATGCTTCGCGGACCGTGATCCTGAGTGGGACATTACCCTGCATGGCATGCCCGAGGGTGATGAGTTTGTGCATTACTTGGAGAAGTTTTTGACGTCGCCGACGAACGCCGACTGTCCCCTCGGAGGCCAGGCTGCCTACAGCGATGCCGTCGTCATCGACAAGAAGAGGGAGACCATTGCGGCCAGCCACTTCCGAGCCATGCACACACCTCTGCGCAGCCAGGATGATTTTATCCACGCCATGTCCGCGGCGCGTCGCATTGCATCCGAAATCAAGAAGGAGACTGGTGTTGAGGTCTTCCCCTACAGTCTTTTCTACATCTTCTTCGACCAGTACGCAACGATTGTCTCGTTGGCCGGCAAGCTTCTCGGATCGGCCGTCGCCATCATCTTTGTCATCGCCACGATCCTGCTCGGTTCGCCTCTGACTGCGCTCGTCGTGACAATCACCGTGTGCATGACGGTCGTTGACATTATCGGTGCCATGGCCGTCTTCGACGTCTCGCTCAACGCCGTCTCTCTCGTCAACCTCATCATTTGCGTTGGTATCGGTGTCGAGTTTTGCGCCCATATTGCCCGCGCCTTCATGTTCCCCTCGCGTACCGTCATGGAGCGCGCTAAGAACCGCTTCCGCGGCCGCGACGCCCGCGCCTGGACCGCTCTCGTCAACGTCGGTGCCTCCGTCTTCTCGGGCATCACGGTCACCAAGCTCCTCGGCGTCTGTGTCCTCGCATTCACGCGTTCCAAGATTTTTGAGATTTACTACTTCCGCGTCTGGCTCGCGCTCGTCGTCTTCGCGGCGACGCATGCGCTCATCTTCCTGCCCGTGGCGCTCAGTCTATTGGGCGGAGCGGGCTACGTTGATCCCGAGAGCGAGGGCGGCCTGGAGCAGGATCTCGCCAGCCGGCGCTACAGGGCGCTCGTGCCTGACGGAGAGTCGGACTCTGAAGACGACTACTAGAAGCAGGTGGACTCGGGTGTCGACATCAGTCCTTGATGAAGCAGGTCTAGTTTTCAACTAGAGATATCAGTCATTTGGAGTTGGCATATCTAGAAGCACACATGAGGGGCAGTTGGCCAATTATTGGAGGGACCAGTCATCGGATGGAACACAGCGCGATGACGGACTTTTCGGGGTATTGGGATGGGGACAGGCGTTGACGGGGTGCTTTGGGTTTCTTTGGGTTTCTCTTTCTTGCGGTGCAATCAGCGCATCTCTTAGCGTGGTAGTCTTACTTGCTGTACACTACAAGGCGGTGAATGCATCGGTTTCTTTGATCTGTTATCTGTACAGCACCATGAGACTGTTAATTCGTCTCTGAAACGTCGCTGTACACGTGTCATTGCCGTTCTAGACAAAGGGCATTTTAAGGAGCATAATATATGGCCCACTCCCTCAGGGCAGTTGAAGCAAGACAACAAAGCCTACTCCCGACAGGAAATAACACCACAACGGTGCTCCTTTGATGTATCCTGAGAACCAGCAGATCGTAGGCTCACCGCCGGCGAATTCAGCCAGACATGCTAGCCAGATTATCCAAACAGACAGCTACTAACGACACGCGCAGACGTATACATTGCCGATCTTGTGACTTTCCCTTAGTTGGGCTGACAGTGGTGTTCCGGCAAGGTCCTATCCAGAGGCGGCTGCTTTGATAGGTGGGATGAAGACGGGTGGTTGTGAGATGTAACATGTCAGATTAGGGAAGTCATATACCTACGGCACTTGGTTTGCATTGGGTACTGCGGCAGGTTCTCGCCTGATCGTTGAAGGGGGGCATGGATCGTGGTGGTCATGCTTCACCGCCTTATGGTTTCAGAAATCTCACGACTGTCGGCGCGTTCATCTGTACAGCCACTGGATGAGTACGACACGCATTTCGATCATTCTTTCTCTCGGCATAGTGAGGTGCCTGATGTGCTGGCGTCGGGGTACCTAACTGGGCAACCTGTTGACAGAAAATCTGGCACTCTTAAAATCACCCTTATCTACTAACTAGTCATTTTACCCTCCATAGCTACCACATCCCTTATCCGTTTTACGGCATTCAATCAATCCAGTGATTAACACGTTCTGAATTTATCTATAAAGGTATAGCCCCTAGGACCCTAGATTTTGTAGGTGTATTATGGTGTGGAAAATCGGTCATTTTCGTGGTTGTAGTGGTGTTGTTAGGGGAAGGATTTTAAGAGTGCCAGATTTTCTGTCGACAGCTTGCTAGGTACCGACCACCTACCAAGGCACCTGAGGCGCTGGGAGTCAGGCCAGGGTCCGCAGGGTGGAGCTATAGCAGATTGCCTCGGGGTCGAATGATTGGTGACTAAGGCCCGAGCGCAGGCCAGAGCTCCCCTCGCGCAGCCAACCAGGGAACCTCGTACAGGTCCCCTAATCCACTAAAACCAGACAACAGGTGGCAGCGGTCCGCGCCTGGGCCTCGACGCTCGCCAGAACGCGACTTGGCGGACCTGGAGACCTTGACAGACGTGGGAAAGAACCACCCCCCTGACGACTCCCCCATCCCTGGCCGATAGCCCAAACCCGCGATCCAGCTTTTTTCCAATATCCCGTGACCCGTGACCTGGCCTTGACCACCACTCGCTCCTCTCCTCCATTCCGTTCGTCCCATTGCCCATCTCTCGGAAGGTCCCTCGGATCTGCCATCCTTTACTGTTACTCGCATCTAAACTACGGGCTTGTTGTTACGACGCGTTGTTTGCATTGCTTCAAGCGTCTCTTGCTTTTAGCTGCTTCCCCCCCCCCTTATCGTCCCTCTTGAACCGCGTCTTGCTGCCGCGCAGACAAAGAGAAAGAAGAACATATCCGCGAGGTAAGTGACGCAACCCTTGGTTTCTGCCACTGCGACCCCGAACCAGGCATTGCCCTGCTCCATTGCTCGGCTTGGACCAGGCAAGCCAGCCACGGCGTTGCCAGAGAATGTGCTGCCGACCTCATCCCTGCCATTGCTCGTTGTCGTCTCCTCCCTCCCCTTTCCTCCCAGCGTCATCCTGACAATCGCTGAATTCGCTTGCTGATCCGCACATACGATAGCTCCCTTGACATAATCGACCATCCTGTCTCTCGGCCGAACATAGCCCTCTCCGAAAAATCGATTCATCATGTCTGACGTCGAAGGTTTCGAGGTCGTTCAGCATGACGAGGTCCCCGTCCAGGCAAGCTCGCCCTCGCCTGCGCCTGCGCCAGCTGCCGAAGAACCCGCGGTCGAAGCTCCCGCCAAGGAGGCTGCCGCCACCGCCACCGCTCCGGTGAAGAAGACAGCCACGGCCACTGGCAGTGTCCGTCGTCCCGCGGCCCCCGGCACCAAGCCTACGACCGCCACGACGAGCACCACCCGCGCCAGTGGCCTGACCAAGCCTCCCACGCGACCCCCCGTGCCGTCTACCATCCGACGCCCCACGACGGCTTCCTCGACCGCCACCCACCGATCCCGCCCTAGCGTGTCTGCATCCGAAGACGAGACCAAGAAGCCCGCCACCTCGGCGCTGCGCCGTACCTCGGTCGCCCCAGGCACCGCGGCCGCCAGCTCCCCCGGCAAGGAGAGGACCTCGAGGCTGTCCACCGCCAGCTCCACTACCGCTGCTGCCAGGAGGCCGACCAGCACCGTCAGCAGCAGCACCGCCACTGCTCGCACGACGACGACCCGACCTACCACGACGTCCTCGGCCACGTCTCGGCTCACGAGGCCGACGACCGCCAGCAGCAGCGCCAGCACCGACGCCGCGAAAAAGCGCCTCTCCACTGCCGGACCTGCCACGTCCACCACGGCCACCAGATCGGCTCGCACATCTCTGCGCCCAGGCAGCTCCGGCGCCAGTGAGGCGTCAGCCAAGGAGATTGAAGAGCTCAAGGCCAAGCTCGCCGAGAAGGAGTCCGAGGTGACCGAGCTCAAGGCTCAGGTGGAGCAGTCGCACGAGAAGCTGGCCGAGCTGGCGGACCAGACGCCCCAGGCGGCCACGCCCGTTGAGAGCAATGTTGACGGCGCTTCGGATGCGGCCCATCAGGCGAACGACGAGGAAGTCGCGGCGCTCAAGGCCAAGGAGGAGGAGCTGGAGGCCCAGCTTGCCGAGACGAATGAGAAGCTCGCTGCTGCCACGGAGGAACTCGAGAAGCAGAAGCTGGAGTACAACGAGGCCGTCGCTGCGAGGGAGGCAGCCGAGGCCGAGCTCGCCACTGTCAAGGAGTCCATCGAGACGCTGCAGGGCGAGCACGATGCCAAGCTCAAGGACGGCGAGGCTCAGCTCGCCAAGGCCACGGCAGAGCACGCTTCCAAAATTGAGGAGCTGCAGGCCTCGCTCGCGCAGCAGCACGAGACGGCTCTCGAGGGCCTCAAGTCGCAGCACGCAGACGAGTTGGCTCAGGGCAAGGCTTCCTCGACGGAACACGAGGCGGCCATTACCGCCATCAAGATTAACCATGAGGCGGCCATTGCGGAGCTGCAGAAGAAGATTGACAGTCTGACGGCTTCGCAGGCGGAGGTGGAATCTGCTCGGGAGACGAAGCTGCAGGCTGCCGAGGAGGCTCATCAGGGCAAGATCGCCACGCTTGAGGCGGATGCCGCCTCCTTTTCCGCCAAGCTCGAGGCCGCAGAGAAGGCTGCTGCGGAGGCCAAGGCTGAACTGGAGGCCAAGACGGCCGAGCTGTCGACCCTGCAGGCCAGCGTTGCCGATTTTGAGGCGCAACTCGAGGCTGCCAAGGCCGATGCCGCCAGGGCTCGCGAGGAGGCCGAGGCGCTGCAAAAGCAAATCAGCACCCTGGTCGAGGAGAACAGCGCCAAGGAGGAGGCACTTGCCAAGGTCAAGGCGGACCAGAAGGCCATTGTCGCGAGGCACGAGGATCAGCTTCACCAGGTTTCACAGGACTACGAGGCGGAGATTGAGAGTCTCAAGGGCGACGCGCACTTCAAACGCCAGTTCACTGCCCTCGAGATCAAGTACAAGGAGCTCGAGGCGTCGCACGGCGAGCTGACGCAGACACACGGCGACTCTGAGTCGAGCCATGCCAAGGCCGTCGAGGCGGCCAAGGCGGAGCACGCTGCTGCCGTTGCCGCTCTTGAGGCGAAGGAGGCCGAACACCAGCAGGCGCTGGATGCCCTCCGGGCCAGCCACGCGGAGGAGCTCGAGGTCGCGAAGAACGGAGCCAACGCTGACAAGGACACGCACCTCACGGAGCTGCAGTCTCTCAAGGACAGCCACGCTGAGCAGCTTGAGACATTGAAGGCTCAGGGCGAGGCTTCTCTGGCCAAGGAGATTGAGGCGCTCAAGGCGTCGCACGATGAGATTCTCAAGGGCATCGAGTCGAGCAGCGCGAGCGACAAGCAGCAGCTCATCGCCAGCCACGAAACTGCGCTGGCCGCGGCCAAGCAGAATGACGACACGGCGCATGCGGCCGAGGTTGAGGGTCTGAAGAAGCAGCTCGAGGAGGCTCTGGCGCAGGTCAAGGCCTCTGAGGCGGCGAGCGCGGCAGCCCTCGAGGCGGCGAAGAAGGACCTCGAGACGACGCACTCGGGCGAGGTGGAGAAGCTCATCATGGTGCACGCCGAGCAGCTCGAGGCGCTCAAGGCGGAGGGCGCCGCCGGCGCGCAGAGCCAGCTCGAGGACCTCAAGGCGGCGCACGCCAAGGCCTTGGAAGACCTCACCAAGGAGCACGAGACCAAGGGCGCCTCTCTGACCGAGGCGCTCGCCCAGCAGAAGCTCGCACTCGCCGAGCTGCAGACTGCGCTCGAGGTCGCCGAGGACAACCTTGCGCGTCTCGAGGCCGAGAAGTCTCAGATCGAGGAGGAAAACGGCGAGCTGGGCCAGCAGTTGGCGACGGAGAAGATGGCGCGGTTCGAGGCCGTCGCCGCGCTCGACGACGCCAAGAACCAGAAGGCCGACACGTCCGAGCTCACGTCGCTGCAGGCGACCAAGGCGAGCCTCGAAAAGGAGCTCGAGGTGGTGCAGGCC